GGGGGGCTAGGGGGGGGCTTGCTATGGAAGGAAAGAAAGGCGCAGACAAATTGGACTGGCTCCATTTAGGAGCCTCTGCTGTTTGAAGTGAAATCTGTTCCCAGAGTATCTGGGGAGATGAAAAAAAAAGAGAGGGAGGAAAAGGCAATGCAACAAATTTGCATTGTTTTTTTGTTTTTTTTGTGTGTGGTTTTTGATTTTTGATTTTTTTCCGGCAACTACCACCTTCAACAACAAATGGTTCTTATAGATGAACCCTTTCGGGTACAGCGGTTACTACAGTGGACAACTTATCATCTTAGTTCAAGACAACCGAACTGTACGCCACTTTGACAATCGGAATTTTGCAAGCCAAAAAAAAGAAAAAAAAAGGAATTCCACTCCCGCTCGTTCTTACCAGAGTTGCACGTGTTACGAATTAACCTGTCTTGCCTGAAACGGCTCACTTCCTGCCTCATAATAGCGGCGGGCGCAAATACGCTCATGGCAAAAAAAAAAAAAAAGGCTGTATCTATTTTAAGGAATTTTAACAAAAGAGCGGCATTGTAAGGAGGCCGGTAAGGGGGCCATGTAGGACACCCCGGGACAGCTGTGGAGCTTCCTGTGTAAAACAAACAGTCGGTGAGCTAAGTGCCCTCCCTCCGCAAATGCACTACTTCATGTTTATTTGTAGATTGTGTTAAACAAGGATCATTAGAACAGGGAATGAGGAGTTGTTACAAATTGGTTTGTGAGATACGGTGCGGATGATGGGCCAGAACTCCACCCCCCCCCCACCCCACCCCTCCCCACGCCACCCCCGAGGGGGAATTCCAAAGAGTTCAAACAAAGTGCTAGGTTTGCAGTTGCCCAAATTACCTCATCCCTCAGGACGGGAACAATCGAGACAGAATTCCGCTCTTAGCATCTAAAATCGCCTGTTTGAGTGTGTAATGATTAAAATCGTTGGCGGTAGCAAAAAGAGGTGGGTGCTCGGGATAACTGGGAGGGGGGGCCGGGGGCGGGGGGGGTGACCTGTGGAAAACCACTAATGTCCTCGGAGACCTTCCTAATGCCGGGACAAAGGTCTCTAGTGGCTGGAATTCAGCTCCTCCGCAGCGAAAACTGGAGGAAGGTGGGGGGTTGGAGAATGTAGGGAATGAGGCAAGGTCTCTGACCACCAACACCCCCCCCCCATCCCCACCCCTCTCAAAACCTCCTTTCACTGTGTGTGATCTCTGGGGTCTCTCTTTCTCGCCCTCTTCCAGATACCCCTGAGGGAACTAGTGTTGGTCTCGAGAGCATCCATCTAAAAATAACTTTCAGCTCACTTCGTCCAAGATTCAGTGACCGAAACGGTAGCGCGTGCAGGAACATCCAAAATAAAAGACAAAGTAGAATCTCAAAGATTTTTTTTTTCCAGATACAATCTCTCTCGGTTGCTAACTAACACAGCAGCACCGAAGGACAGAAACGGTGATGTATTTAATGGGCGGCATTGGGGAGGTGCGCGAAAGCTAGCATTGCCCGTACTGAATTCATTGTACTACGTGACGTATTGCCACTGTTTATAAAAAATAAAATTTAAATTAAAAAAAAAAAAAAACGCACACCGAGGTCCGAACGAACAAGAAGCCTTTTGAAGTCGTTTCTGTGCAATGAGCAGCTGGGTAAATAGCGATATAGAGTCCCCTTGCTTCGGTCCTTCGGGTTCGCCGGTGACGTCTCATTTAAAAGTAAAATCCTCCCAAGAATTGACACACTGTGCAGCCGAGACCGGCCCACTGACACGCGTTGACGTTGGGGGAAGAAACACAAGCAGCCTCCTGTGCTAGCTAGCTAAAAAAAAAAAAATATCAAAATAAACGACAGCTAGCTACCCTTCGTACATCATCGATTGCAGATTGTTGGTGGACGACACTACCCGCCGAGTCATACCCGTCCGTTTTGTACCGCGCTTCGCTAGTCGAGGGCCGCGCGTTAAGATGAAGCTTTCCCCCGGCTGACTTACCCATCAGCTATGCGAGGCATGACATCGCCAGCGAGCCAAGAAAGTATTCGTCACACCGCGTTTTGAAACACGGGAATTCATTCCAAAAAAACTGAGCGTGACTCATACGGTGGCCATAATAAAAATAGTCAAGACTTTGATACGCCGCAAGACTTGATCCCCGTCCCGCCTCACTCCGGATTTAGCGGAACGTCTTGCCAAGAAACTACCTAGTCCGGGGTATTTTCTCAGCGCTTAGCAGCTGTTTAATATTTGACGCGAGCGATCGCAATCGAACGTTTAGCCCTTTCCGAACACAAGCGTAGCTTTTCGCACGCCGATTGTCTCCCAAGGGCTTTCCCAAAAAGCTGCGGACCAAATGCCAGGAAGTGGCGCTCATCACCTCAAGCCTCCCTACTCCAAAATGCTTGGCACTTGCCGCCCGGTTGTCTGACCCAAAGCCAAGAGCAGCAAAAGCCATGCAGTTGGGGAGTTTTCAACCCCCCCCATCACGCACTCGCGCCAAAGCACTCGCGCTTCCTCTCCCATTCAGCCAGTCATGTCCGCAGGGTTGCATGTGGGGCGTATTAGTCTCACAGTAGCCTCCATTGAGAGTTTTGCGCGGTCGCGGAACAGAGGAGATGGGCTACAAGTGTGAGTCTGAGCGCGTCCTGGGTGTGAGCGACTTCAGATGGTGACGGTTAAACACAAAAGAAGCAGCTGCGCTCGCGCGGAAGGAAGGAAGCGGGATGCGGAGAGGAACTGGCGGAAAGGAAAGCGGCGCACAAAGTCAGCGGGGGCGATGAAGAGAAACCGTAGAACTACATACGGCGCGTTTTTCGACTTGGCGTGACTCAATACAACAAGGCTGTCCTCACACACACACACAAAAAAAATATGACGCCGGAGGTCACGGTCCTCGGAAGAAAACGTCTGACTCACTTCCCATGTCCGAGCATGAGTCAAGGTACAATCATCCTCGAACTTTCATGTTTATTCTTGTTTAGTGGAGTGAAAGTGGCCAACCTACTTGAAGAATTAGTCAGAGGGGCTTTGAGGAAATTCCTCAAACGGCGACGTGGAGAAGAAAAAAAACAAAAAACGTTGAAAACGGAACTCGTCGACGTTGGGACTTGACGTGTTTAAGCACGATTTTGGCAACGGAGGGATTTGGCCATGTAGCCCAACGTCGGATTTGACGAACAGAGGAAGCAGAAGCTTCCTTGTGCAATCGAGCACCTGCACACAGAGGCAATAAAGAGACGGAGCGGAAAAGGAAACCGGAACTTTAACGGTCCGGGAGTCCAACAACAATCCAGATCTCCTTTACCACCCAACTCAATATTCCCCAAAAAGATTGGAGTCATTTAACCCTTTGAGGGACAATGGTTACTACAATGGGCAGCTTATCAGGTTACGAAGTCCAGGAAAGGGTTAACGCCAGTCCAGATTTTACCACGAATGATTGAAAGCGTCAACGTACGTTTGTGCTTTCCAACTCCCGAGACTGACGCTTGAAGCTACACGCGATTCATCTCGAGGCATATCAAACAAGTCGGAGATTTTCCAAGAACTGCAAGACAAGACCGGGCAAGCGCTTGTTCCCGCGCTCGTTATTTTCATCCGACTTCACAGAAAGACTTTTGGATTTGAATGCCTGGAATCGTTCTCCCATTTATCCGAAAGAGTAAATCCTCGTCTTGGGAGGACCGTCTCGGATAAGAAACAAGAAGCAAAGTATTCCACAGAGGAGACCGGATCCTTCAGCTAGCCCCTCTGAATGACGACGTCTGACTCAAAACCAGGAGAACTGTACTTTGTCGTAAATACAACTGGAGGAAGACCCCCCCCCACCCCCATCCCAAACAAAATGAAATTGGTGGGCTAGTAAAGCAGTTCCAGATACGGGCAGTCGAGTCAAGCGGTTATCGAGAAAGTAGACTGGCTGTTGTCGATGTCAAGGCCAGAGCGTGGGCGTTGAAAGCGGAGGTGCGAGTACCTGGGACATGCAGGCACCAGCAGACCCCGACTACAAAGGCAGCACGGCGGCAAACATCAACCGCCTCGTTATCAGTTCAGTCCAACGGTTCAGTGGCGGCCTTGCAGCTGCGTTGGGAAACTGATCTGTTCCCCCCCCCCCCCCCCCCCTCGCCGAAGCTCATCGAAACATTTTCACGAGCTTTCCTCGCCGCCATGTCGCACCCAACGAAAGCCGCGCCGAGGCAAAATAGACGTGGAATCGAGTCGACCCGCAAACAGTCCATCTCCGCACACCCTTCCTGGTGGGACCCCCTGACCCCATTTCCTCGCGCTATCAATCACGTCTGTCACTTGGTCGCTGATAAACGCCGAGGCCTTTCGAGCTGCCAGAGGCATTATTTCAGTTTTCCTGTGGTCAGACTGGAGGGTAAACATTTTCTTTGACTGATAACAGCAACATGAAGCGAACAGGGGTGGTTGGGGGGGGGGGGTCTCCTTGAGCACAGCAAAGTGAAGCATTGAGGTGACATAATCCCGTTTAAATGACGCCGCAAGTCATTTCCCCAGATGGATTCAAACGCTACAATCGATCAACAAAATGTACGTACGCATACTTCGATACTTTACGCTTTAAAATCGCATTCGGAAATGGATACTTTTGATACTTCGGCCCCGAAAAGAAGATCTTTTTCCTCCCGCCGCGGCAAACACAATAACAAAGTGCCAACGGAGTCACGTGACCAGCTCGTTCGCCTCCACAAACGGCGGGTCAATAAACCACACGGAGCAATCGCGATTAAAAGCGCCACAGGGGAACTCACGTTTGCACTTAACAAATATCGCATGTATTAAAAAAAACAAACTAAAATTGATACTAAAACTAAAATGAAGCAGTTTAGAAAAATATAAATAAAAACCTGCTTTAAAAAGGCAGTAAAACTTCACGCGGACGAGACAATACGGCGGGAAAATAAAATTAGCAAGTGGCGACTGATCAGTTTGGAAAGGAAGCTTTCACGTGTGTTGCGGCGGTAAAGCGCCGACGACTTACCCACTTCCTGGGTCGCCCCCTGCGTCTTTTCTCCCCGGTTGCCTCGGATTTCTGCGGACAGAGGATCTGATTAAGATGCCGTGCAAAGCGCTATTTCCAAAAAATAAATTAGATGACACCAAAATGGAGGATATTCATACGAATGATCGGAATCGCGCCTTCGTAAGACGGGTTCGGCTCAAAAACAGGCGGACGTCACGTTCCCGTTTAAAGGCAATAAAGCAGCCTTTTGTCGAACGGTGTCTCATGAGAATGCGTGTCGCACTAGTTTGAAAACCGCGGTCCCAGTTTCCACTCGCTACATTTTTAATGTGGACATTTGACGGTCAAAAGGGGAAAGACAATACCCCTGTTGAATTAATCATCGGCGTGTTTCATATGGCTGAGCGCAGACACGGCGAATGTTTCCAGTGGCCACGGATTCAAATTCATATCACGATCGAATTGACCAGATGAGATCACATTTTTTTTTTGTAAAACTATCACGAATATTGATCTGTCATCTTTTTGTTTTGAGTTTTTGTCATTCAGGTGTCGGAACTCACCTTTTGCGCTGCCTTGGAGGGGCCCTTGTTCTTGCTTCCTTTTGGGCGGCCCCTTGGTCGCTTGGGGACGGGCTCTCCGCTGGGCTCCTGGAGGGAAGAAGGGCAGGAGGAGGAAGGGGGGCGGTGTGACATGGGTGTGGAGAACAGGAAACAAAAGCGGGGACCCCCCCCAGCCACCCCCCGCCCCCCTTAAGCACAGCACATCATCCCCACCTCAACTCAGAGCACACACACTGGGCAACGCGTCTTGTGTGGGTCCCTTTTCAAGCGTGTGCTCATTTGCTGGTGGTGGTCCCCCTGCACCCCCCCCCACCCCATCCCTCCATTTGGTTGCCGCTTTATGGGTCAAGAGCAAGGCAGACAAAAGGTTGCGAGCGTGCGGAACAATCGCGTCGCATGTGTGGGGCTGACACTCGGAGGTGTTTTATTCCCTCTTATTCTGCGCCGTTACTTATATCTCACAAAGCATGAACCGCATATACTGGATGTAAATTATCATTTGGGAGAGTGTAAAAGTGTGAAACTCGACGCCTGAGGGTCCCACCACGTTTTTCGGTGGTGCTTCAAAGCAAATCATACACACGTGTTTGATGCATCTTGTTAAAAATCAGACCCCGGATTTCAAATTGCCCTCAAAACTACTTTGCTTGACTTTCTGATTTCAAAACTACTCATCCGTCAATTTGTTGTGTATATTTATGATAGCGAGTTGGTTTTCAGTCATAACAACCCTCTGCGGGAGGGTAATGGGGGGGAAAAAAATAAGTTTGACAAATTCCTTATTGTGTTTTAACATAGTTGGCCAGGAAATATGAATTAAATAATAATTCTGATTGTGTTTTTGCGATGAAATAATGTAAAAAATGACTCCGCCGTGAATTGTACGCACGTGCACATGTTCAAAAATGTCCCACATTGGAGTCTGGAACTCCAAATCATGGATGTCTGGTATTAAATCTCCTACATAACTCTTTTTTGTTTTTTTTTCTTACCCAAACATGTCACATAAGTGAGTCATGTTATGCACTCCAGTCATTTACAAATGTGCTTGTTTTGGATTATCAATGAATTTATGAGCATTCATTCCAACAAAAAAAAAAAATCAACATGTCGATTCGTATTGTTTGCATCAAAACAGAAATGAATTTATACTGACTTTTTGGAGTTTCCTGGGTCTTCCCGGTCCCCTCTTTTGGGGCTCCGCGGCGCCTGCGGGCTCCTGGGAGCCCTCGCCGGCTTCGTCCCCGCGTCCACTCATGGTTCCCGGTGGCTTCTTGGTTCCCCCCGCCCCCCCACCCCAACAAAAAAAAAGTTTTAAAAATCCCTGTGGTCGATTTTGTTATCCAGTTTAGTGCGAAATAAGTTGCGGCTTTAAACTATTCTAGTGAGGAGGGAGCCTGCAAGTTTTGGGTACACGGTGAGCACCGCGGGGGGGGGGCACAGCGGGACACCCGAGTCCGCGACGCCGGAGGGGAAGCGACTCAACTCGGCTTACAAGGCAGCGCGGCACCGGGGTAGACCCTGGAGCAGCGGCAAGGCGTGACAGCTCGGCGCGGACCGTCTTTTTTTTTTTTTTTGTCGGGTAGAATCATGCCTTGACTTGCCCGGTGAATTCGTTCCATTTCAAATCACATTTCATAACAACGAAACGTACTCATTCATTCCGCAATTAAACGGAACGTGACGAATTAATTGTGCGTCGTGACATCATCCATTCAGGAAGTAGTGCCTCTGCCGTGCGTGTTTTGTCCACCAGGGGACAATATAACAGACACGAAGTGCGTTTTTGAAAAAGTTTTATCACCAAACTGTCATATTTCTGCGGATGATGAGGAATATATGGATATATAGTATTTTTATTTTGTCCGTCCACATGAGTTTGTGTTCAGATATATGAATATTGATAACGAAGCGCAATGGAGACGCTAGTTGTGTTCGTCCCGCTGGTGTTTTGCTTCAAGTTTAACTAGGAATGACAAGAAACAATTTAAATGAGAACTTGGATAGAAATAATAACCTTGAAAAATTATCTAGCTATCTATATGTCTATCCATACAGAGATATAGATATATATATTGTTTTCTTTTTCAGATGGAAGTTTCAGAAAAGAGGAATTAGAATTTTAGGCATTGCTTTACCAGATTGTGAATTTGGTTCAATTTTCCATTTTTTTGTTATGCTCAGTTTCTATTTCATGGTAAAGACCGAACAGAAGTACTTTTTGAATTGTATTTCAACGGAAACTGATCTTATGTTTACAATCGGACCAACTGAGTCAGGTCGAAAAATACAAATTTCACCAAGCAAACGCAAGGTGTCCACTCGGTGTAAAAGGCCGCGGCCCACTTTGAAGCACACCGCCATGGCCGCGCAGGCAGATCAATTACTCAAGAACAACAGAAACAAAGAATAAACTGTCTTATGTGCTCGACCTTTCCCACGATCCCACCGTCTCCTCTAAATGCTTTTACAGCCCCGCCGGTGCGAGTCAAAAGTAGTGAAACGTTCAACCGGAGTGTGCATAACGTAGCCGCGACGCTCTCAAAATATTTGTTGGTGCAACTACTCGCTCCCATGCAAACAATGACTCCACAGAGAGCACATGGTTAATTTGTAGGGAGTATTCATTCATAAAAACACCCCCCTACACACCCCCAAAAAGAAGGGGGTCTCTGTGCAAAGACCGCCCCCGCAGACCGAGTGGCGTCGGCATCAAACCAATACAATCAATGGGCCGCGCAGCTCCTTCAGCAACTTTCAGGGTGGTTTTTGCGGCACACATGTGCAGCCTGACCCCTTGTTGAAGCGCAATTAAACGAGAACGTAAATATGTTAGTGCGCTTTGCGAGCCCCCGCGTCATCTCAGACTTTCCACCTTTCCAGCCTGGAATGCTGCCTGAGCTAAATAAATACATCCGAAACAGTCTGAGTGATGTGACGCTCGCCCGGCCAACCCAGTCAAGCGTCTGCTGTGAGAGTCTTGTCTGTTTTGTTTTGTTTTTTTTCGTGTAGTACACGGTGGTGGGAAGGAAGCAAGGAAAAAGACTGTACTCCGGTAGATTTTTCGTGTGTCTGAAGGCTTCTTACTTTTACTCGCCTTGTATCAATGTATCTCAAATCGCCTTTCCCCACTGAAATGAATGGAAATGCCATTAATCTGTTCCAGATGCACAAAAATAATTTAAAAAAAACTGTAACATGTTTTTTCATAAGAAAAATTGCGCTTTACAGGAACATACTTTATAAAAACATACAGTAATAACATAATAAATAGGATGTAAAGAATGAATTTGTGCAAGGGGTGGGGGATGAAATACTCAGTATTTAATCTCTTGATATCACAAA